GCCCAGAGAAGCTGTGGATGCCCCATCCCTGGAGGGGTTCAAGGCCAGGCTGGATGAGGCTTGGGGCAACCTGGGCTGGTGGGAGGTGTCCCTGCCCATGGCAGGGGGTGGCACTGGGTGAGCTTTAAGGTCCCTTTGACACCAAAACCCTTCTGTGATTCTGTGAAAAGTTATGGGGGCCACTCAACAGCCTTGTTAATCAAGGAGAAGCGTGAACTCTTCTGGAAGGAAGGCAGGTTGCCACATGTACAGCCCTCATGGTGTCTCATGGGATCAGCCTCATAGATGACAGCCACAGAGCTCCAACCTCCTGGTCTGGGCAAACAGTGGTTTTGAAGGTTGGGGCATGAGATGCTCATCTCTGAGGCCAGGAGAGCTCGAGGATCACCCTGTTACCTGGTCTGTAAGGTGGGAAGCCTGTTCCAGGGCAGTTGGGGTGCACAGGCTGATTAAAAAAAAAAAACATCTTCCCACCTTTATCTCCTGGGAAGATGCCAACGTGGCTTTCAGAGCCCAGCCTTCAGCGATAGACGGTATGTATTTGGAGTTGGCGTTTTTCCGAGCTGTGGGGAAAGCTGTAGGCTGCTGTTAGATAGAGACACAACCTCCTCATCGCCGGGTGTCTATGGGAACAGAATACTCGCTGAAAGCAACCGGGGGAACAGCGTTGCCCACGTTTCCCAAAACCCGCTTCCAAACAGCGGCTGTATCTGGTGAAAAGGCTGTTTGCCCTCTAGTCTGGTAGGCTGGGGGAAGGGGCTGTTCCTGCAAATTTCCCTCCTGTGAAAGGACGTGTGTTGCTAAAAGGGTCTCTGCCACCTTCCAGCATCTCCAGAGCCCCCAGCATCGGCGGTTTGCGCTGGACGCCTCGCAGTACGCGCCTGTGGATCGCATCATCTCACAGCTCACCAACAGCTTTGTGGAGCAGTCAGACAGGTGAGGCTTTGTGAGTCTTGGTAGCTCTTAGAGCTGGAAAGCAGCGTGGTACTGCTTGGCACGCTCACGGGGACAGGGCCTGGATCTCCACACTGCTGTGGTGCTGGTCCCATGCCCTGTGCCAGGGAATCGGCCAGAGCGAAGCAGAGGGCTGTGGGTGGTGGTGGGACCGACCTGGCCCCTGTCAGGTGAGGTTTAGACAAGCCATGGGAGATGTTCTTGAATTTCTGTGACTTCTCTGCTTCAGGGAAGTTCCTGTGGACTTCTAGTGCCTCTTAAGCTAGAAAGGAGAGCTGGGCCCATCTCCTCCATCCCCCTGTCCGGCACAAACCCTGCTGCTCTGTACCCAGACCTTGGGCTGTTGGGAAGGCTGAGGGATCCTGCACTGCCCATCTCCTCTGCCAGCAGCAGTCTCGCTGTTTGCTGAGCCTGATGGGTCTAAAATGTCTTATCACCTCTTGAGCAAGGGCTTCAAAAATCCTGCACCGCAGAAAAGCTTCATTTCAGTGGGGGAAGAGTGTTGCTGGGCCTAGAGAGCGCGAGCATGAACTGACGGTTCTTCGCAGGGTGCTGTGGTCCTGCATGACGGGTGAACGCTTGGTGCCTCCAGCACAAGTTCCTGGAGGAACTGAGATGCCGGCAGCAGAGCTGGGTAAGAAAAGGCAGCAGCCTGAGCACGGTGCTGTGGATCTGTTCGTTGATACGGAGCGTGATCATGGCCTGAAGACCAAGGGATGGTCCCCGTGCCTGCCCAGGGACAGGGGCAGTGATCCTGGAGGAGGAGGGAGGTTGTTGAATGGCTCTGGGGGGCTGCTTGTCAGAGCAGGACTCGGCAGAGGGGTCTCTGCTGTGCAGGGCACCACAGAGCAGTCTGGGGTGGGGGATACAGGTCCAGGCTTGGCTCCTAACCTGGGCTGGGGGACTCATGGAGCGGCTGCTCGTGTCAGAGAGGCAATTGCTGCTTCATCTGAACCTCGTAAACAGCAAACACTCGGGTCTGTGGGCCATCCTCTGCAAGGACTGCCCGCCTCCAGGAAACGCCAGCCCTCCTCTGGACACAGCACCCGGGCGGGGAAGCGTCCGAGGCTGGAGCTGGGTGCTGGCCTCTCCCCGTACGAGCAGCCGAGCCCGGTGGACAGTGGGATGGGTGCACAGGGCGCAGGACAGGCTCCGGAGCCAGGCTTGTCCCGCATGGCGGGTGCTGGCAGCTCGCCCCTGAGCACAGAGCTCTCCAACAGACCTCGGAGCTCCCTGGGTTTGGATCTGTGCCCACGTGGGAACCCTGGGGACCCCACATTGCAGCCGGGTTCCCTTGGGGCTGCATCGGTGGGGTTTGATCCCTCAGCCAGCGCTGTCAGCAAGCGTGGCTGGAGCAGAGCGCACAGGGATTCCCAAGGGAAGCGGCTCGGAGGGGAGAAGGAAAACACACCCAGAACTGTGAATGGTCCTGATCTGGAGAGCATAATGAGCAGGAGCAGCTGTCCTGCTGGCCGCTTGCCCTCTCCAAAACTGCCTGTGGCTGAAGCCAGATGTTGCTGCTCCCTCTCTGTCAGAGCAGAAGAAAAAATAGCACCGGGACTACTTGACCTCCCCGACCGCAGCCAAGAGCGGGCGCTGTGCCCTGGGCTCCTCCAGCCTCCTCCACGTAACGCCTGGGCTGAGCACAACTTCAACAGCAGTTCTTTGGAGTCAGACTGGCATGTCCAGCTGCTCTCCACGCTAACGGGTGTCCAGGACAGCAGGATCCAGGCTGTGGACAGGGACTTGCTCCAAAGGACACGCGTCAGCGTGAGGGACAGTGGGTACGAGTCTCGGCTCTGCTCCGTTCTGAAGCAGAAACCGCAGCTTCCCTGGGCAGGCAAAGAGGAGAAGAGCTGCTGGAACTGCTGCACCAAGACCCAAGGAGCTGCTTTCCCCGTATTGGAGACCTTTCTGGGCAGCTGGGCTAGTTAAAGCCACCTCCTGGCTGTCCTCTGGGCCCTGAGTGGGGGCTGTGAAGTGGCTGGAAAGGGATTTAACGAGTCAGGAGCAGGAGGGAGAGCCGGAGCGAGGACTGTCGGGTGTGTGGTGGTCTGCAGACCCGGGCAGCTCTGCTGGGGGAGCTCACGGGTGACGTGTTGGTTTCACTGTCCTCGGCTCCGATAGGGGCTGAGATCTTCCCTCCTCTCTGCTGGTAACATTTGGAGCTGATTTTTTCCTCCTTCAGCTCCTCCCTGGGCTGCTGACAAGATGGTCTTAGATCTCTGGAAGTCTCTCCTTGCAGGAAGATGCTCTTTGTCCTTCTGGATGGAGAGCGTGGGTTGTCCCTACTCTCACCCATCCTCGGAGGTGCAGAGAGGGAGAGGAGGGTGCTGGGCGAGGTCTGTGTTCTTCACGGGGTTTGGGGCTCTGTGCGATGTCTTTGGGTACTTACAGATGATTCTAACTGGTACTTGGGTGTTGGGTTGGGTTTTTTTAGCAAACTTTTAAACTTTGAAATAAAATGAAAGATGAAATCCAGCTCTCCTGTACTCTGGATAGAACTCGTCTGGTGGCCTTAAGCGTGGCTGACTCGAAATTGCACAAAACCTCTGGTGGTAGGGGCTTGGTGGTGGCTGGCCAGAAGCCTTGCTGGGAAGGACGGGGGATGATGATGGGCACCAGGCGGAATTCGAGGCAGCGGTGGCTCTGGTCACATCACCCATGTGGGGTTTGCTGTAGGAGGCTGCAGGAAGCTGTTGTACCCCACGCAGGGATGGCCCCGGTAAAGAGGGACATGGAGAAGGTGGGGAGCAGTTGGTGGAGACCCTGGACCTCGCCTGGACCCAGGGCTGAGCAGAGGAGGTGGAGCTGGGCTGGAGGGGCTGAGGGGTGGCTACCAGCAGCCAGGGACTTCTTGAAGGGCAGCTCCAGATAGGATGGAGCCAGCCTCAGTGGTGCCAGGTAGCCCCAGCCAGCACTTCCAGGGTGGGAAAAGGAGAGCTTCTGCCTGGGAGGGGTCAGCCCTGGGCCAGGCACCCCCAGCGCCTGTCGGGGGAGATTTTCAAGCCCTGAGGGGAGGACAACCACCCTCCTTCACATGGGGCTGAAAGGGGAGCCCTGAGCAGCTGGGTGAGGTCGCTGTGTTGTGCACAGGAGGCTGGGCTGGAGCCTTGCGAGGTTCCTCCTGAGCTGAGTCATCTCCAGTGCAACAGCCCAACTCCTGCTCTTCACCGAATCACAGAATGTTAGAGATTGGAAGGGACCTCGAAAGATCATCTAGTCCAATCCCCCTGCCGGAGCAGGACACCTAGATCAGATCACACAGGAACGCATCCAGGCAGGCTTTGAATGTCTCCAGACAATGAAGATGCTGTACAGGTAACGAAGGGCTGAGCTGCTCCAGGCCTGGGACCCTGCTGTGGACCTGTCCCCTGGGCTGGTCCCTGCTGAAGGATAATCCCTGGAAGAGAGGCAGGAACAAGCTCGGTGCACCAATGGGTGCAGGCTCCTGGAGGGACACCTCCCACTAGCCCAGGTTGCCCAAAGCCTCATCCAGCCTGGCCTTGAACCCCCTCCAGGGATGGGGCATCCACAGCTTCTCTGGGCACCCTGGGCCACTGCCTCACCCCCCGCACAGGAAAACATTTCTTCCTCACATCTCATCTCCATCTCCCCTCTTCCAGCTTCAAACCTTCACCCCTCGGCCTGTCCCTGCCCCCCTGATCCAGAGCCCCCCCAGCTCTCCTGTAGCCCCCTTTCAGCACTGGGAGGTGCTGGAAGGTCTCCCCGGAGCCTTCTCTTCTCCAGGCTGCACACCCCCAACTCTCTCAGCCTGTCCTCGCACGGGAGCTGCTCCAGCCTCAGACCATCTCCGTGTCCCTCCACTTGTCCCCTGCATGTGTCACCTCCTGGCCACATTGCTCGATGGAGGCGGTAGGGAGTGTCCCTGGGATGGTGGGAGATCAGCTGAGGATGAGGACGGTTGTCCTTCACCGCTCTTGGCAACTCCATGGAGGGGAAACGGAGCCCCCAGTGCTGCCTGCCCCCTCCCAGGGTGGACCAGTGACCCACACCTTGAGGGCCCTGGGTCTTGGGGACTGGGAGCACCTTTGGGGACCCTCAGGGACTCTTCAGGCCTGGGGTCAGATGCTCTTGCTGGAGATGCACTTGCTGTCACCTGGCGCAGACCATCTCCTGCGCAGCACCCGTCCCCTTTGTTGCTGTGGACCCAAGGCTGCCAGTAGAGCACTGGGAGATGCTGGTGACCCCACAGAGGTGCAGGTGCCAGATCAGCTCCGCTGGGCTTGATGCTGCAGGTTCCTCACCTCCTCCGTGTGTTGTTGGCTAATTATCGCACGGAGGAAGATGAAGACCTGTGGGCAGCGGGTCCTGGCATTGTCCCCCCCTGTGTCCCACACCCAGTGTCCTGGGAGGGGGGTGCGGGGCTGATCCAGGGGCTCGGCAGCCGGGAACCAGCGTGGCCGCAGAGATACTCGG